GTGTGTGTGTGTGTGTGTGTGTGTGTGTGTCATAGTTGACAATAAGAAAACTTCAAGATAATGGTGGCCTAATATTTGGAACTAACCCATTCTTTGACTTTTCCCACAAAAACAAACAGCATATCCACTAACCTGGAATAAAACACTGTGTATTTTAGGATCAACACATCTGAGATTTCTTGGTGCAGTGATTAACTTCAAATCCCGTATTTTAAAAAAATCAAATACGAAGGTCTAGGCAATGCCCCACATGAGTCAGTGATTAGGGGTGCTTTTTAGCTCAAAATGGTGTAAAAGCAGGGGCAGACTCACCGAAGAAGAAAAATTCACAGGTAGTGTGTGCACAAATGGACAGTGTGCAGCAACAGTCTTATAGTGTGGGTTTATTTCAGCACTTTCGCAACCTGCTGGCAAAACGTTTTGCCCCTCTCCACACAAGAACTTATTGTGTGATTGGTCAGAAGTTTGTGGAAGTGTTTTGCTTAAACTGCTCACTTAAAAAAAATACTTGCTTCCAGAACCTGACAGCTTTAGGTTACAGACATTTATAAAGACAGTCAAACGGGCCAAAATCTCTGGGATGGAGATAAAACAGATGTGCACAGAGGAATCTGTCTCATAAAAACTGTGGAGCTTTAACTGCGACAGATATGTGGACGAATAACTTTGAGTGACAAGTCTCTGATTTTTTTATCTTTCCACACTGTAGACTCTAGAGGGAAGAAACCCTGTCCAGTGACACATACTGCAGCAGAAGGGGKTTCCCAGGCGCTCGGCATGGTGCGTCTCAGGGGCTATGAAAGGTGTGTGCAAAAACAAACGCTGAACAGCCACATGACCGCGCATCGTCCAGTCGGCTGCTGACCAACCATACTGAGCCTTTTAACTTTACTAAGAGAATAAGATGCTTCTAAAAAGAAGTGGAACCCGAATTGTTCAAATTAAAACGATGCCCAACCCCACAGATAAGTGTGATTGGTATTGCCTTTTTCATTTTGAAGATGTAATAAATACATGAAAGGAAAACTAATCTAGGAGGACTTTCCTGACATCTTTTCTTATGAATCAGCACAAAGTGTTTAGTGTTTTATGGAAACCACACAGCATCCATCATCCGGCTTTGTCAAGTCTGGATGTGTGAAGGGTCCACTTACCATGGAGAGTGCAGTCTGGGTCTGCTGTAGGAGCGGTTCAGGCAGCAGGGAGATGTGAACACATTCAGGGATGCTTATCGTGCCTCCGTCCAGGTCAGCAATGATTACATCCAACTAACAGACACATAAACACTGCTCAGTTTTCAAAATTTAGACATATCATTGTAACCAGTGGACAAAAGCTGAGGAGAAGGTTGGTTCTCTTACTGCACAATGCCACAAACCTAACAACAAAAACCTCACATTATGAGGTGTCTACAGTCTTATGTAGGAAATATGAGTTCAAATTAAAACCTGCACTTCTAGTTCTGAAGAAGTATCTGAGGAATCTATCTGAAGTTCTTGTCTTCAGAAGGGATCTGAGAGAAAACAGTGAGTTGTTAAACAGCGAGAGGCACACTGGCTGAAAGAAGACAAAAATGTCCACGTTTTGATGTCTTTTTGTATCCAAAAAAGTTACAAGAGTAAGAGGAGTCTGCAAAAAACTGAACTGTCTTCAACATTCTGTAGATAACTGTGCAGAAATTTTTCAATAAAAAATTTTATTCAAAAATTGTATTCATTTCATTAAAAATAACTACATATAATAATAAAGAAAATACACAAATCAAAAATCAAAATAAAATGAAAGGTAGCAGAAGAAGAATAAGTCTTTTATCCCCAGAATACATTCAAACGGAGCATAATTTACAAAACAATACTAAATAAAATTAAAAACATCAGCTCAAACATTCATATAGCTTCACATTTTTTCTTTTCATATACCTTCAAAAAACTAGCTTTTATCTGTCTCTTAAATATATACATAGATCTGGCATTTTTAAGATCATCCTCCAGACCATTTCACAATCCTATRCCTTGGATTAAATTACATCTTTCTTTCAAGCAAGTATGAAAATATGGTTTCACAAACATTATTTTATTTATTTATAATCTTTATTTAACCAGGAAGTCCCATTGAGATTAAAAACCTCTTTTCAAGAGAGACCTGAGAGCATTTTCATACCCTTAAGATAATAACTGTCTCTCTTAAAGTTTGCCTGAATGTTAACATCAGATTTAAATTGTGATTGTGTAAAAAAAAAAAAACAAAGAAAAAACAGATATTGAAAAGCCAGTTCAGCCATAAAGTCTGCGATCCATTTAAACTTTAAAATATGTTTCTGCTGTCGACCATGTCTGAACTGCAGGTCCAAGGGGAGCTCCGTTTTCTAATGTCTTTCTTGCAAAATATCATGGTTGCCTAACACACTTTACTGTGAAGCTCACTGAGCTCAAGCTACATGTTTTGGTGTACGATTTGCATGTTTATGTCAAAAACGCAACAAGACAAAAGATTTGATTTGACGGTTTAATAAAAGACAGCTGAGTGACCCAACAGGTCTGTAGGACATGAAACAACATGTAATCAAACCCTGCATCAGAGAAAATGAAGGTCCATCCCAAGGTTTGTCCTTCTGTCTATAAAGCCTTCTCAACTTCTCACACTAAGACTAGTGGCAGTTTCCACCTGGGTCATATTTCTCTTACAGGTGTTCATCGTGAGTTTCTCTGATGCAGCTTTACAATATTTTCAATCCACTGAGACAAACAATGAATAAAAGGCACGACAACATTTAAAAACAACATTTTAAGACTGAAGAACTACTAAAAACTGTCAAATAAACAAGGTCAGAGAAATATATCAACCACTGTTGTCCACACTTTCCAGTTTTGATTAAAACTCTCCAGTTTTGAATAAAACTCTCCAGATGARCAGTAAAACATTTTCTACAACAGAATAAAAGCTCAGCTGCATCGTTTTGTATTTTTACTTGTCTTATTTCAGGTTTATCATGTCCTGGATGATTTATAACTACACCAGAATCATGTTAGAAGTTAACCTTTTGTCAGAGCAATGGAACAGGATGCACAGAAATGTTTTTTTTTTCATGACAAATGTTTTAAGAAACTCTGTGCAATCTCAAAATCAGTCACTTTGGGGTGTTTTGGCCACTTTGGCCTTTTTTCACATTTGTAGAAAATAAGACTTTAGTCTTTTATGATTTATTTTTTTTACACAGTATGAAAACTAACGCTGTTCCAATACCAGGTTTTAGCAAACCAAGCATTACAGTTTGGGTACTTGCTGAGACCAAGTACCGTCCCCTAGTACTTACCAAGTTAGAACGTAAACAATACACAAATTTCTTTAGAACTAGGTTGCTCTCCTTCCTTATAGGCCTACGGCTCCCGAGTATCAGGGTATTTTGTACGAGTACTTTTAAAATGCTAGTATCAGGTACGATGCTGATACTATTAWAGGTATCGAGAAAGCACTACTGAAAACTTACCAGTTCTTGTGTCTCAGAGCGAAAGAAGGAGTTGACCCCGATGATGAATGGGGTGGGAGTGCTTAGGACCTCTAGCAGTTTTCCAGGCAATATGGGAACGTAGGTAAAACTGAGGAAACAGAAAGAAGAAGATGCTTATGACACCAACCACTGTCACAGCCTTACATGAGCAGTGACTGAAACACATCCCAGACTGTGAGGAACGGGATCACACCTATATTTGAGTGGGAACATGATGGCCAGAAGACCTCGGCATGCGTCGGTTAGCCTTTGGTAGCTGCTGGACAGGAACAAGATCTTGTGTTCTGTCAGGGCAGCACAGAACAGATACAGCACGTTGACTATACCTGAGGAGAAAACAAAGAGGGTGTGAGAGGAAGAACAAGGTTTCACAAAGGAAACATCTAAAGTCTGTCAGACAAGGCTACATATTCATGTTTTTATTATTTTGAATATCCCACAAAACTATTAAGAGTTATGAAAATCAGTCAGTTTTTATTTTAAATTTTGTCAAAAATATTCTAAACGCTACCAGCAACAATTCAACCTTAAAGAATTAAACCTTTTCTGACATACTAGTGAGAAACAATCAGTCTCATTCAGTTTAAGATTTCATTTGATAACAAAAAGTACTTTACAGTGTAAAGACTATTAGAGTCAGCTTGAAAGCCAAAGTTTCAAAAAAAAAGATTTGATTGATCTTTTAAAACAGCATGTGTTGAAGATGACTCTAAGCTACTGCCACATCAAGTTTTAGTCAGTTTTACAAACACTGAGCTGAACTTTAGCCATTTTTCAGCTGGTTAAAGATGTTTAGTTGTGGCGAACATTTGAAGTGACTCAAAAAGTTAAACAGTTGTAGATGTGCATCCAATGATTACTTTCTGCAAGTTCTTCAATTTGTCAATTGGTTCATAAGATCTTTTAGCAGACAAACACAAAAACTGTGATTGTTCGCCTTTCGGAGACGGGCAATAGAACAGCTCAACTTCTTAGTTTCTCATACCAAGTTGCCTGAATAGCTGAGCCACACTGCAGCCGCTGACAGGAAGAGAGTCATTGATGGGAGTCTGGATGACTTGCCGGTCACCAGCGCCTAACGTTATAGTTCTCTGTAGATTAAAAGAGAGGAGAGCAAACAAAGGAGAAGGATTAGAAAAAGGGTGACAATACCACAAAACAGGTGTGCTTTTCAGAAAATCCGGGTGGTTTAATCACAGTTGAGCGTGCCCAGAAAGCAGCGTGAATCAGAAGGCAGAGAAATGGAGAATCCGAGGAGCTTAGCAGGTAGATGTCAAATAAAACCCAAGCCATTCCAGCTGATCAGGATGTGAATGAGGCTTCAAAAGACTCCATGCCAACAACCGTACTGCAAAACACCAGTAACACCTGAACAAAGAGCTGTTATGAGCAACAGAAATCCCAAAGACGAGGCAGCTGTCATGCATTGAGAACTTTCCACAGCAGTTTAATTTGGAAAGGGACCAATTCATACGGCCACATAAAACCTGTAAGATGTGTACCGAGTTATTACTGAAGGACAGTTAAGCTTTGACCATCAGGATGAAACTAGTTGAGATCAAATCAACAGATCAGAAGATGTGATTTCTGTCATACTTGAGGTGTTTTGGGGCTCACTACCTGTTTAAAGTGTACACAAAATCCAAAGACGTTTCATGTGAAACTAGTCAGTGTCTGTTGAGGCTTTCCGGGTAAAAGTGTGCCTACCATGCACAGAACTGATAGTGAGCCACAAATTAGAAATGAGATACTGTGATCCAACATCTGATCATTTGGATGCTTAAAAAATGGGCAGGAAGGCCTGAAGTGTGTCTGTGTGTGCTTTATRAAAACTATCTATGTATACTTTCATATGGCTGAGAGGCTATGAGTTTCACCTGATACTATTAGTTTATCTCAATGTCAAAAAMAGATTGGCCAATACAGTCTATATTTTAGACTTTAGATGTGTTCAAATACAGGGGCTGCATCCATCGAAGGACCTGGCCTACCTTGTCAACCACGAAGACCTGAAGAAAATGGCTGTGATTTGAATGGTCTACCTTTAAACTTTATTCTTACCCTTACATCTGCTTATGTCCTGTGGCCTAGCAAACGTGACGGCACTAAACAGAGGCGAAGAAGATTGAAAATAGCAAAATATTAATATATTAATATTATAAACAAAATATGCGATTCTTGTCAATCTAAGGGACCTGCCAAATGAGCTCGTTAACAAAGATTTCTGACAAGAACAATATTAAAACACATCTATGCAAATGACAAAACAGTGTTAAACATTCAATTTTTGTATCGCCAGACTTATTTTAAACCGGACTCCTGTCTTGCTCCGTCCTCTATTATGAGCAAAAAATAAATAAAATCTCTCGGTTGGCCCACATTGCATCCTGGAATAAAGTGGGCTGAGAAGGATACACTAGAATCGTCCCTCAAATCAATACAGTGGGTAAAATAAGTTTGAACACGTCACCATTTTTCTCAAAAATATATACATGTATTACTAAAGGCGCTAATGACGTAATTTTCACCAGATGTCAGTAACAACCCAAGTGATCCATACATACAAAGAAATCAAACCATAAATGTCCAGAAATGAAGCTATTTGTAGCAATGTGGAATGGCACAGGGAAAAAGTATTGAACACATGAAGAAAGGGAGGTGTAAAAAGGCATGGAAAGCCAAGACACCAGCTGAACTCTCTCAGTAATTAGAAAGCAAGCCTGCCCCTTGTCAGTGCAAATTAATATCAGCTGGTTCAGTCCCAAATGATGACCAGGTATCACACAAGAACCATCTGATGATGGGTAAAAGTAAAGAGCTCTCTCAAGACCTTCACAACCTTATTGTTGCAAAGCATAATGATGGCATCGGTTACAGAAGAATGTCTAAACTTCTGAAGGTTCCAGTGAGCACCGTTGGGGCCATGATTCGGAAGTGGAAAGAACATCATTTCACCATAAACCGACCACAACCAGGTGCTCCTTGCAAGATTTCTGACAGAGGAGTTAAAAGAATGATCAGAAGAGTTGTCCAAGAGCCAAGGACCACTTGTGGAGAGCTTCAGAAAGACCTGTAATTAGCAGGTACGATTGTTTCAAAGAAAACAATAAGTAATGCACTGAACCACCATGGCCTGTATGCACGCTCACCACGCAAGACTCCACTGTTGAAAAAACAGCATGTTGAAGCTCCTTTAAAGTTTGCTGCACAACATTTAGACAAGCCTGTGTAATACTGGGAGAATATAGTCTGGTCAGATGAGACCAACATTGAACTGTTTGGATGCCAGAATACACATCATGTTTGGAGGTCAAATGGCACTGCACATCAGCCCAAAAACACCATACCAACAGTGAAGTTTGGAGGTGGGAACATCATGGTGTGGGGCTRTTTTTCAGCATATGGTACTGGCAAACTTCAAATAATCGAAGGAAGGATGAGTGGAAAAATGTACAGAGACATTCTTGATAAAAATCTGCTTCCATCTACCAGGATGATAAAGATGAAACATGGCTGGACATTTCAGCAAGACAATGACCCCAAACACAAAGCCAAGGAAACTCTCAGTTGGTTTCAGAGAAAGAAACTAAAGCTGCTTGAATGGCCCAGCCAATCACCTGACCTGAATCCAACAGAAAATCTATGGAAAGAACTAAAGATCAGAGTTCATAGAAGAGGTCCACGAAACCTTCAAGATTTGAAGACTGTTTGTGTGGAAGAATGGGCCAAAATCACACCTGAGCAATGCATGCCACTAGTTTCTCCATACARGAGGCGTCTTGAAGCTGTCATTGACAACAAAGGCTTTTGTACAAAGTATTAGATAAATTTCAGTAAGCGTGTTCAATACTTTTCCCTGTGCCATTCCACATTATTACAAATAACTTCATTTCTGGACATTTATGGTTTGATTTCTTTGTATGTATGGATCAAATTTCATGTCATTAGCACCTCTAGTAATATATTTACTGAGAAAAATGGTGACGTGTTCAATACTTATTTTACCCGCTGTATTTGTTGACCGCATTTGGAGGAGTCTTTGAATTTGGATAGCCTTCAATACCACGCATCGACATAATCAATAATCAAATTTGGCCATCGAAGGATGCAGCCGCCATTTTTAAAGTCGCCATATTGGATCCTTTTCCCAGTGGGAAGGGGGTCATGTAGTTTAAAGGCAGCCAGAAATGGATTGCTTCAACCAGTTGAGGAATATTTCTTGTGGTTCATAAGTTAAAACCACAGAAAGTTGAAACAACAACTTGGAAAGCTGGAACAACAACAACAACTAGGAAAGTTGCTCATGATGCACAGCTATTTGACGTGTTCAATTTGCTGTCCTTGGTGCTGAACACACACCTCTGTGATGAATAACAYTTTGAACTTTCTGTGTTGATAACTTAAAGAAGCACATGGTATGTAGTGAAGGCAAGACCTGTTACCTGTCATAACATCAATTGTCTAAAGGCCTAATTAGAGCCCTCTTCATCTACAACATACGACCATGTTATCTCATACTTATGTTGTATTACGTGGACACACTGAAGAGAACCATGCAAGTCTCTGTACAAGAAGTCTCTAGTTCTTATGAACTGCAGTGATGTGAGAGTAAATAATGACATGTTCACTTTTGAGATCATACGCTGATTTCAAGAATCAAACTTATGTGTTGTCAATTTCTATGCTAGATGTTAAAATCAGTTGTTGGTCACAGACTAAAATTATCTTCATTAGTTTTCCTCCAACAGGAGCTGTGAATAGATTGATCCAAGGAAATGGGTGGAGAAAAAGAAGCTGAAGAAGCTGATTGGTAGTGGGAGATGGGGTAAGGAAGTCAGGTTGGCATACCAAACTATCTTCATTTTCCTCATGGCTGGGCTACACGCACACACACACAGCAGGATAAAACACAGGTTAGAAACAATACCAGTGAATGCCTTARCTTGATAACAATATGACAGTCATGGCAAAACAAATAAGCTGCACAAACATTAACATAACAGAAACAGAAACAGAAAAATATGTAATGATGGCAACATTAAATGAGACACATGCAAAACAAAAACATCATATGGAAACAGCAGCATTAAGTGTTTTAAAATAAAAATAATAATATATACATTGTTTTTATTTATAACCATGAACAGAAAAACAGGAGAAAGCAGAATCCATTGTTTTTAAAGAGGAACTTCCAACATACATGTGAAAAGCTTAAATTAAGAATGGAGATATATTTTGGTACATTTGGCAAAATAAATGTGATGAATTGATTGATGAATGGATGGATCGTCTAACTGATATTGCAGTAGAAGCTAAAGAACTACACAGTAGATTTTAACAATGTTATAACAGTCGTATTGGGCTGACAAAAGAATGTCTAAATTTGACATATTTTAATTTCACAAGTGAAGACATGCAACTGGCTCCATTTACTCCATTTAATTACCTTTACAACTGAAGCATCTTCTACCTAATACATGTGGAACATGTGTCAAACTCAAGGCCTGCAGGCTCGCATGACATTTTATGTGGCCGGCAAGAGTTTCAAAGATGTATTAATGTCTTTGAAAAAAGCTGCTTTAAAGCAGCAAGCACGGACTGTATACTTCTTCTCCCATAATGCACGTTGATTATTTTACATACAAACTGACAGCATCCCACCATCCCTGTGAAGGTGCACAGGGTTCAAAAGTAGCTGGTAGTTGCAGAATTTCACTATGTAAAATCTTCATTTAACTGCATTTTTTGACGACTACTTTTGCTGTGGCCCAGTTATTCTGGGAAGTGGGAATTTCCTACTTATAAGTTGTAAATTTAAACCCCTACAGTGGGAATTCCCTGTCGTAAAGTGGGACTGCTGTATTATTTATTTCACATTAAGTCAGTCGTACACGTAGTACTTTCCCATGTTTATAAGAGAACGTGCTTAAACACTGTTTCTATGCAGGAAATACTACATAGAGCTCAGTTATTGGTTGTTAGTGTTGCTCAGCCATAACAATGAGACGAGGAACGTGACATTTGTGTTTGCTTGAAGTTAAACATGAAACTTGGAAGTTAATTATAACTGGTCCTTTGAGGACCACCATAATTCTCGTGTGGCCCTCTGTGAAAATTTTAACACCCCTGATGTACAAGATCAACTTGATCCTGAAAATTAAAATTGAATTATTAAGTTTCTCTATACATACATACACATATTTATACTACAGTTTATATTACAGGGAGGAAGTTTATTTTAAGCAAAAGCAGAAAAAAAAATAAACACTTTAGTTCTATACAAGAAAATTCCCATAAACTTGCATTTGCATTCAGTAGTGTAATGACTTTCCTTGTGTTTAGTTTTAAAACCATATTTTAAACTAATTCTCAATCTTTCATTTTTTATCTTGAAACCTGTTTTTTCTGAAATGGAGTAAGTTTCAGGAGCACATGATGACTGCATCTAGTTTGAGAGAGAATTTGTCACACAGACTTAACAAGTTCAAATTTGAAGTGACAAGCCTCTGCAACTCATGAGAGGAAACTGAGAACCCTCACAGACATTTCCAGATAGTTGGCCACTCCCTCACAAAATACCATTTACCAACTAGCCAATGGTTGAAGCCCACTAAAGTATCAGCTTGAAACCATAATCTCAAAAAATAGAATTTTTAAAATGTTTTTGATTATATTTATTTATTTGTTGCTTCTAATACAATTTCTAAATAAATTATAGTTTAGGTGGTAAACTAATTCATACTCAATGGGGTTTTCATAATAATTGCATTAAAACAGCAAATATCCCTTGCCTGGTAATCAGTTACATAAATTCCCCGGAGTTTGGAATATCTCAGCTCAACTGTATATTGATCGTGGCCCCAACTTTTCAGAAGAAGAAAGGAAGAAATTAATTTTTCTTTTGTTTTGGACTTTGCGATTCTGATTCCATTGTTCTCTTCTGACTTCATTTACATGAGGGATTATTTTATAGACCTAATATCTGTCATGTGTTCAGACTGTCTGAAGTTGTCTGAAATGTAAACAACTTTTAGCTGCTGCCAACTAAACACGCTCATTTCGCTCAGTCAACTATGCAGCAGATTTTAGTAGTGAATGATGTGTATCTACTAGACACAAAAAAATGAAGAAAAGGTATTTTGACAAAGTTTCACAAATTTATCATCATG